TTCCCTGCTTGTTCCTGCCCCTCCCTCGGGTGAGGCAGGGTCTCCAGCGTGGAGAGCACCGTGGGGCTGGAGAGGCTGGTGGGCGAGAGGCAGGCAGGGGACACGGGTGGGGCGGAAGTTCAGGGGAGCAGGGGGGCTGCAGGGAAGAGGAGGGGGAGGAAGGTTTCTAAGGGTGGTGGGCACAGCCCCATTGCACCTGTGTGTGCGGTCGGATGCCAGGACCTGGCAGCTCCCCTCAGCTCATAAGAACATGAGAGCGGCCAGACTGGACCAGACCAAAGGTCCATCAGCCTGGTGTCCTGTCTGCCCACAGCGGCCTGTGTCAGGTGCCCCAGAGGGAGTGAACAGAGCAGGGAATCAGCCAGTGATCCCTCCCTGTCATGTATTACTAGCCTCTGACAATCAGAGAGCCATTGAAGGACCAATCCTCCGTGCATTTATCTAGCTCTTTTTTGAACCCTGTTAAAAGTCCCAGTCTTCACAACATCCTCTGGCAGGGAGTTCCACAGGTTGACTGTGCGCTGTGTGATGAAAAACCTCCTTCAGTTTGTTTTAAACCTGCTGCCTCTTCAGTTAGCAGAGTGACCCCTAGGTCTGAAGTGCATTTGCAAAGGCGCCAGCTAACATGCTGCAGCCGTGTGTTCAAGCCCCGTCTCTCAGGGGTTCAGTGTCCTCCCTTCATTCCACCTGCTAGCTCATCCGGAGTACTGGGGAGCAGTGTTCCCTGTGCGCTGAGCTCTTGGGCTGCCGCCCAGGAGAGATTCAGGTGTCCCCCAGCTGATTAGTAGAGGCCCACAGCCAGCAGCCTGAGTTTCTACTGGTGGTGCATATCCATGCACACCTCAGTGCACAGAACAAAATTTACTCCGCCCATGGATGGAAAACATTAGAAAGAGAGGGCTTGTGGGACATGCACCGTGCCCGTTAGCCTTCAGGGCATGCTGGGAAAAGCCAGCTGGGAGGGATTTAGGGGAATGTTGCTAAGGAGTTGAGGGCAAAGGGGGCGTTGCTGTTGCGTTGGTTGAT